GAACTTGGTGGTAGAAGATTATTTCCTTGATCAAGGGCTCCTCTACAAACAAGTCAGGACACCTAATTCAGCGCGAGATATAAAGGAAGTGCTGTGTGTGCCTAGAACACTAGTTCCGAAAGCTTTGGCACTTGTACACTTAGCACCACTAGGAGGTCATGGTGCTGAGGAGAGGACCAAGTTTAGGGCGAGACAAAACTTTACTTGGCGTGGTATGGACAGGGATATAGCTGAGTATTGCAGGAAGTGCATTACTTGTGCGAAGTTTAAGGGGCGTGCACACCCACTGACTCCTTAAGAAGATATCCTGTTCCACTGGAACCTTTCCAAATGGTTTCGATGGATCTGATGGGACCTTTCCCTCTGACCGAGCGAGGAAACCAGTATATCTTGGTAATAGTGGACTTTTTGACACGATTTGCCGTTGTCAGAGCCTTACCCAACAAATATGCTGAGACGTAGCTGAGGCTGTAAGTGAGGTGTTTGCAGACCTCGGGATTCTCAGACGGTAACGGACCAGGGACGCGAATTTAGGAATGAAATCCTGAAGGAGATGGCGAAGCATATGCAGTTTCAGCATCATAAAATTACTGCATACCATCCAGCGTCCAATGGACTCTGTGAACGGACCAATCAGCAAGTTCTCAATATTCTACGAGGGATGGTGGACGGAAAAGATCAGTACTGGGATCTTTACCTAAAGGACACCCAAATGGCTTTAAATTCTGCTTACCACAAAGCAATTGGCGATACGCCGTATTACGCCATGTACAACCGGGACCTGAAGACTTCAGACCTTTGGTGGACCAGACCCACAAGTTTTGGAGGTCCACCTGATGAGGATTTCATAACTGCAAGGACTCAACGGTCCAAAGAGGTGTACGAATATGTACGAGACAACTTGCTAAGAGCAGCAGATGAACAGTGTAGGATTCGCCAGAAGAAATCCAAAGACACTACAGTACTGCCTGGGATGAGAGTTTTCATCAAGGCTGTGAAGAAGAAGGGTGACAGCAAATTATCTCCCCGCTGGGAAGGACCCTTCCGAGTCGTTGAGCAAATACGACCATATGTCTACAGGATTAAACACCTACAGACAGAAAAGATGAAGGAAGTTCATCTCGAGAATATGAAGATCGCGCTGGAGGCCAGTATTCCGAGATCGCTAGCCCCAGAAGCAAGAAGACCTTATCCACAGGAGACACATTCAGATAGACCTGAAGGTACATCCGAAGAAGAAGCACGTGAAGAAGAGTATGTCATGAACTTCCCAACGAATGACGATGGAAAAGGAACTTCAGAGAGCAACCAAGATTGGGCTCAAGAGTCAAGTGAGGTAGATGACCTAGCACAAGATGTAGTTGCAGAGATTCCAACAATGCTGATAAAGCTAATGTTTCGAATAATGTTAATGTGTTACCTAGTATGAATGTTGATGAGTCTGATGGACTACAAACCACTGATTCTTATAATATTAGGCATGACACAAACACTAAAGACCTTTCACCAAAACCAGAGGTTGCAACTAATGATGCGAGTGCAAGTACTGAGAGTGAAAGAAGTAACAATAAAACTGTGCATGATGAGTTGAGTGAGCATGGTAGACGTACCAGTGGACGCACGAGATACCGGGATACTATACTAGGCTGCATGAAGGACCGCAGGATTAATCAACCACACCACTAACAAACGGACACAAACAACACTAATCAGCTAATTAGATTAAGGGGGGACAGGATGGTCACCAACATTGTTGTAAAAGTGTTCTATATTGCAGATAGATGGTTGAAAATTGAAGAGAATGATGCGGATAGCACTGATTGTTCCATATTGATTGTCTGAACCTTCTTACGACCCGTAACCTCAAGATGAGCGTAGAGTCGGAACCAAAGGAACACCTGATGTTGGGTTGTTAGACTATGACCTGACAGCCCGGGAGAAGAGTATTCCGTAACAGAGAAGATTAGCAAGAACCAGATACAACTTCCTGCACATTGAGAAAAGCAGCACACCTTGCAAGTGTATCGTTTCTTTGCTAGACAATTTGGAGGAAACTCTCGGTGTTCCAGAAAGTAATTGGTTGATTATGTAGGGTTGAAGGGCGGTGGTGAGTAGGCAAGTTTCTTAACTTTTTGAGTTGGACGATCGAGTTTGCACTAAAATTAGAGGATGGAGTAGGATTATTTAGTCATCCTGTAAGTAGAATTATATCCATTTTGTTTTAGCACGTGAGTTGTAAAGTAATTTCGGATATCATGTGTTAGATGTATGTGATGAAATCCCTCTAATCCAAAGGTATCGAGATGATAAGTAAATGAAAGTTAACTGATTGAGCAATATTAAAGGAGTCAGTTCACGGGTTGAAACAGGCCATTGCGTTGATCGAAGAAGGTAATGCTGTTCTGGTTAGCCGTACAGCATCGTTATGTTATTGTACAGTCACATTATCAAGGGAGTTTGCTGTAGGACCTATTTTAGTCCTTTGCCTAGTAGTCATCTCGGTATGGTTTTGGAGGAGGTTATAGGGGAATCTGTAAGGAGTTGGCTGCTCTGATGTACATGAGCGTTAAGCCCGATAGATGCACACCATAGCGATTCGCGGTCACTCGAGGACGCGTGATTTAAGCGGGGGAGTATGTCATCGGCCAGAAGCAGTGACACTTAATTTTGCCATTATTAATGCATTTAATTGGTAAATCGTAACGCTTGATTAGTTATGATGATATAAAATTCTAAGGGAATAAAACCACAAAATAGAGTTTGGTGGTAGTGAGGCTGTAGTTGTAGGTTGTGTTTATGTTAGAGGTGAAATACTTGGACGATCTTGGTGGTTACTTTAACTCGAGATAAGGGCCAAAATACCAAGTCGCCTTCTCAAAGTGCCACCTCAGCATCCATACAACCGAACAACCAGGCCTCTGTCTAGATGACCTGGCACCCCTAGGTCTAAAATTCCTGAAGTCAGTTCAGGTTGAAACATCATTGAGTGAAGGTGAATCGGTGTTGACTCCTGGAACTCATTTGAAGAATACGGCGTGATTAGCCGTGAAAACTAGCTTAACTAACTAGAAATTAATTCTAGTATTAGGGTGAAGTTAGCTGTAGATTCCAGTTCGTCTTTTCCCCGAAGTTAGCGGAAGGCGGGCCTAGGAACTATGGTCAAATTGTAAGTATTATTACTTAATAAATGTATAAGTTCTTTTCACACACAGTGTTTAATATTATCCCATTTTGTCATTAGGACACTGAACAAAGGAGAGAACCACACCACAGAGATACTGGTTGGGTTGAACACAGTGGTACACGAAACAAAAAGAAACAACACTTATACTAATTAAATCACTTGGAGTACATCGACACGAGAAATACAATATCTATTAAATAAGAACCTATGTCTTGAAGAATAATGATATATATGAGTGAAAATATCAATGATATCGAGATATATGTGAAATAGAGTAATTTAATTCATTTTAAGGTTTCCAGAAATAGTGAATGATGAATCAGAATGATGCCATACTGATCTGAAGTTTTAATGAACAAAAATATTATTGAAACTATCTGAGATAACCTTTGATTAACTTACTAGAGTAAAGTAATAACGAAGATTTATGTTGGGGTAACAATGACCCACATAACATATCTGCATATTTTTTTTTCATAATTCAATATAAAATTCACTTTACACCTGGATTGTGGCGTCATATTCACACTCATATATCTGTATATATATATTTTTTTTTCATAATTCAATATAAAATTTACTTTACACCTGAATTGTATAGAACCTATATCACTTTACCTACCAAGGCCCACCTTCCCTACCTTTACTATAGGCAGTAAGCTCTTCCATCAATAATAACAACAAATGAACACTTAGTTTTGATTTATGTGATGGCAATGCGGGGAATCCCCTCCTACCTCGCGCAGACAGGGTGCTAGATAAATAGAAAGGCAAATGAATATAGATATCTTTGCGCAATTGGATACATATATACAGACATGTATCCTTACACACACATATACATGAATAGAGATACATAGGTAGAAATATAGATAAGTACAATATATGTGTATGTGTGTGAGTGAGTGTGTATAATATATATTTATATGTATATATATGTACATACATATATAAATATATACATTTATATATCTACTTATTTATTCATATATACATACATACACACAGACACACACACACACACACACACACACATCTATATATACATATATATATATATATATATATATATATATATATATATATATATATATATATGTAGAAAAGGTATGAATGAGACTGGATATCTTCACAATACAAGAGATGTATTTAACCGGTTTTGATTACATGTATTTCTGATGAAGACGTAATCGAAACCGGTCAAATACATCTCTTGTATTGTGAAGATATCCAGTCTCATTCCTACCTTTTCTACATTTGCCAACATGGATACGTGTCACACACACACACACAGACACACACACACACACACACACACACACACACACACACACACACACACACACACACACACACACACACACACACACACACACACACACACACACACACACACACACACACACACACACACACACACACACACACACACACACACACACACACACACACATATATATTATATATATATATATATATATATATATATATATATATATATATAAATGTATATATATATATATATATATATATATATATATATATATATATATATATATATATATATATATATATATATATATATATACGCTTGTCCCTGCACACGTTATGTGAAGAGCCTACATGAGGGAAGAGGGAAGTTCTGAGAAGCGGAGCCTGCTGCTCGGACGAGTCTTCACACTATATACGGTGTCGAGCTGCTACATTCTTCCGGGAATGGCGTCTGACAATCAGCTGTTGCCAAGTAATTCTTAATGCCAGACACATAAACCACGGACACATAAACGTTCGCGCATTTTATCCACCAGTTTTAATCAGGCTAGGGTGTCCTATTTATGATGTGAAAAGATTTTATTTATGGAGTCTCCAATGCGTTGTCAGGATACCATCGGCACATGAATATTTAGGATAAAAAATAGGTGATGTGACTTCCTCGATGGTTATCGCCAGACAAATAAACGTTCGCGCATTTTATCCACCAGTAACCAGTTATAATCAAGCTAGAGTGTCCTATTTATGATGCGAAAATATTTTATTATTTATGGAGTCTTCAACGTGTCAGGATACCATCGGCACATGAATATGTAGGATAAAAAATTGATGATGTGACTTCCTTGGTGGTTAGAAGATTACTGCATGAGATGCGGGTGCTCACTTCTTAGTAAGACTCCGAACCAGGCGAGGTGGGTCACATCCACCCGGTAAGTAGAGGCATCTCATCTACTATTGTGGCATAATGCAGAAAAGTGAATAATAAAAATGCATACATGAGCAATAATGTAATGCATGGTAATTTTCTATCTTAAGGTCATCCACATGTAAAAAGATTTTAGAGACTGAAAAGAAACGAAAATGTGTTTCCCAGATGTACATGGGAAAAAATAGGAAAATTTTAACAAATACGGAAAAAATTAACTCCAGATGAAAAATGTAAGAGTAATCATAAATGGAAGTTGCAGAAGTACTGAAAAACAATGCTATTGTTGACAGATTTTTTGAGACAATTTTGTGGTGAACTTTTCTTATGTGAAGTGTAGGGATAATGCTCTGATACTGATTCAAGAAAAGGTAATTGGTGCTGTAATAATACAAGTTGCAGCCAAAATAGTTATTTGTAATGTGCATGAAGATGATACTGATGATACTGATGCTTGTTTGTAGGCTGTGCTTGATAATAGGAATAAATTTGATCTACTGTTTAAGAAACCCACCTTAGGGCAGGCTGCTTGTTATATTGTTAAATGTCAACCAGAAGTTCATGGGGGTATTTTGGATCATGGAGGCATAATGTTGCATTTCGATAATTATTCAGTTTGGCATAAGTATGTGAGACTGTGGTACCATTGCCCAAAGTATATTCAAACTGTTAGCACCACTCTGTCTCAATCAAAATTCTAGTAGACGACTGCCAAGCTACTTTCATTTGTTTCAAATGTTAATGGGTTTTGGTTTATTATTTTCTTGGTTTGATCCCAGATAATTTTTTTACCTACGTCATTTTTGAACTATTCAATGATAATATGCAGAAATATGTGATGTAGAAAATTGCGGGGATTGACGGAGTTAATGACTTAATTGCGTTTAGTCAATCAGAGTGGACTATATATATGATATAGCTAGATCCATAATCATTTGTATAATTTTCCTGATAATGTTACAATTACCAGAAGCATTCCATATCAGAAACAGCTGTCAGAATACTCTAGGGTAAATGGTTTATTTTTGGTATCAGTGGGCTAAATGAAAACCTTCCTATTGTCAATGGTATGGATGATGCTATCTGTGGTATTTGTACTGGCAATCTTAATACACGAGAAAAAGTGCATCAGCCCTACCAAAGTGCTTAAAATGTTAGGCAGACAAAGGAAGAAGTTTGTCATTGAGTGCAGAAATTACTAAATTAGAGGTTATCACTGATCAAGGCTTCTAGGATTTAACCTATGGCTCGTTAAATATCCAATTCAGGTAAGTTTCGTTAAAGATGTAACTTGCAGTGACTTTGTCAGTAAGACATGAGCCTATAGTCTGGTGTCTCCTCACCTTATACGAGTCTAGTATGGCTCTGAAAAGGGGTAAAAGGAGATTTTTGGGTTATATAGCTTTGTTGATAAACATTTATGCCAAATCTAATTAGAAAAATGTTAGCTTAATATGTTCTACCTATATTCAGACATTGGTTTATCTGGTTTAATAATAAAAATTAGCCACTACTGGTATGCAGTCATATAAAAAATAAAAAATAAAGTATATAGTCCTACGTAGATACATACATAGATACATACATACACAAATACATACACACATACACAT